GGTATTTCATCTACAGTGTGACCAAAAAAAAACTCTAAATCAAGTAACAGCCTCAGCAAAGGCTACGAAATGAAAATCTCTGTCATTTTATATGTAAAATTATATAGGGAATGCCATTGATGTTCAATGTTTCCAAGCCAACTGGCCAGCATTTTTTTTTCGATCATACAGTACTACAATGTGACAATTTCAATTGTGATCAAGGCAAGCTTTGATTGTGACACTTAAATTGTTTATCTGTCATCACACAAAGCACACTTGACCATAAAACTATTCAATTAAACTGAATATAACTTACCTGTTGGACATATAAAATATAAACAGGCATGAATCCTTGAATCATGATAGGTTGACAGAGACCTCTTGATTTTAAGCTCTTCCTGTAGATAATTCTCAAACTGAGCATCAATGTAATCAACAATAGCCTTAAAACTATCCTCCTTGTTGATCTGATCCCCATAACCCACCGTATCAACAATTGTGAGCTATATTTTGAAAAATTATTATAAAATTAAAATAAATTTTTCTATCAAAATGTCTGTTTTTGTACCTTGAGTCTCACGTTGCTTTCTTGTAATTCGTAAGTGTTGGATTTTAGTTTGACAGTTGGTAATGTATGAGGACTTGGATTTGATTCAAAATTCGTATTGAATAACGAATCCATGAGAGTTGATTTTCCAAGTCCGGTCTCTCCTAAAAAAATATTTGGTTTAGTTAATTAAATATATTGTATATCCTTATTAACCAACTTACCAATACACATAATATTGAAGACAAATCCATTTTGTACACTTTTTGAAACCAACTGATCTGGTAAACTATCGAACCCTACATGACCTGAAAGTATCAAATTTCTAATCTGCTCTTCAACCTGTAATAAACAGAAATATATTCAGTACTGCCATGTAAGTACGTGAGAAATTTACACAATGAAGTACATTGCCTTTTATAACTCATATAGTAAATAATGTTTGTAGAACAAACTACAGTTTAGTTGGAAAATAACTAAAATAACCTCATTAAATGATTTAATTTCATATTTATAAGAATAAATACTAAATATATACTTACAGATTGATTTTCTACTTCTACTGGAGGCATTTCTACGCCTTTATGGAGCAATATTTACGAAATCAATAATATAAACAATGATATCCTATTCAACACATGCACTATTAAGCTCAATTTTACACTTTTTCCACGATAGTTACCGTATTCTCGAGTCGTATAATACAAGAAGAAAGTATTTTCTTAATAAAGAATAAAAAATTTCAGTTAAATAAACGGTTTTTTATTGAATTTGTTTATATTTATCCTTGAACCGACCAAAAGCAACGCCCGAAGCAAAGTGACAGAAGTGATTCACCCATAGATAAATGAAACAAGTTTAGATTGGAAAGTGCCCATAAGGACAATGTAAACACTATTTGGCGCTATTCTTGCAACGGTCGCGACCCAAAACTTTTGAAAATTTCGGAGCGGTTCGGCTTTTTCCGGAATTATATCGCCAAATATTGTTTATTCAAAAGTAGTATTATTTTCGTTTAATTTTATAAATAAAATACAGTGTGTTGCATACAAGAAACTTTATTTTATATAAGGACGCATGTATGAAATACCTATGAAACATTGGAAACCGACGTTATGCCACGATCCACGATGGTTTTTGCAGTTCACAGTTCACAGCACAGTTTTTTAAGTTTTTAATGCCACTTTTTCACAATTATCACCGGTTGGAGTAAATAAAACTTGAATTAAAATAGCAATAATTACTTTGAAAATGGACGCTATAAAACACTTTTCGGGATTTCTTTAATGAGAGCGGTTTAGATTTTGAAAGACTATTATGATTTTGAAGATTCTGACTTTGACAAAGAGAAAATTATTTCTGTTTTTGTTTGCCGTTGTTCTTAGCGACCGCTATAGTAGCGCCAGATCGCGTATAACGGTCGCGACCCAAAATAATTTCGCGATCCAAAATTTATACGGGCTTTCCAATCTAAACTTGTTGCATTTATCTATGGATTCACCAAAACAATCGTCTGTCAAACGAGTTCACAACCATCGAGCTAAGAAATTTTCTTCTTTGGACGGCGCAATAATCATAGAGGATAAAAATTAAAGAACTGTTATTTTTGATAAAGTTTTTGATTTTTTAAGTTTTTAAATAAATTGGAACGTGATTATTAATAATATGATAGCATGTTAAATTAGACGTTTGTCTAATTCATGGAAATATAGTGTTGGTATTTTGAAATAAGTTAATTGATAGTTTTTTGCTCGATGGTTTAATTATTAATTAAGAATTGGTTATGTGGATCAAGTAACTACTTGCATATTAATCAAATTAACTAGTTTAATTTATGAATTTCAGACAAGACTTGATTACATTACAGTGTGGTCCACTAAGTACCTACGCAATACAGGGTGGCGCACCTCATTCGCCTCGGTTGATTATACAAAAACGAAAAGATATGAAAACAAATTTTGATATGGGTATTTTAGTAGGAAGTCAATGTACATAATTTAAAATTATTTTCAAATTGTACATGGTGTGTCAGAACTAAGATCCATACCAAAGTTATATTTTTTCTTATAGAACACCCGGTATTTTATTTCATTTTTCGATTCTTGGGCATAAAATAAGGCATTTATTATAGGGGTTTAATATTCTTAATGCTTTGGTTTTTGAGATATTTAAAGATATTTAAATATGCATGCTATAATAAAAAAATTGCCAACACCCTCTATATTACTTTTCAGAGTTAATTCTTGTACTGACTTTGAAGCCAGAGAAATAAACTTTACTAAAAAATTTTATTGCTTCCTTAAATCTATACAGGGGTATCAAAAATTGCTGGTCTGTTTTAAATATTTATTTTACATAAAAACTTCATTATTTCAAATACAACACTATATATTTTTTTAAATAAGTCGAAGCAGATTTAAATGCTCTTTTAAACTAGATTAGGGTGTCCTATACCTATCTAGTTCAGATTTTGAATAAAAAACGATTTTTCAATAAAATGTCAATCAAGATGGCTGGTGTCGCCATGGCAATTTGCTAGTGACAGTAGCTATTTTCAAAATCTAAAATTGTTTATGGACTATATTTAACTCCCCCCCCCCCACCTTCTGCCAGTGATACATGACCACAGACAATAGAGGGTGCCTGGTATGACGGACAGGGTAGTCCCATCCGGCATCGTTATACGTCTTGGTGCAATTCCCTAGCCACGATGCTACAGCCAGGGACAAGACAGTGAGATACACCTTAGACCCAGCCAAAGAGCCAGAGGTGATTCCCCCTAGCATGTAACTAGGAGCTTCCCTACAAAAGACAATGTCTGGCATCTCCTAGAGGAAGAATTAACACTTGCCTGATTTTAGTTAATTTTAATACGAGTAAAAATAAAACACGATTAAATATTTATTTTGTTTTTTATTAAATTTAAAATATTTTCATTGTTTTTTCTACAAAACTGACTCGTTTCTCTTCATAATCCTATTTTTAATACAACTTACAGAACTCTAAGTATTTACATAACTATCAAGTCTTTCAACAATAGGAATATTACACGTATTCTATTTCTATTTTTACATAGTAATTTTACAAAGGAATATGGCAAGAAAAATTACATAAATTAATCTGGTCCTTGATACAAGGACGTGGCAATTTTGTTCGTTTTTCTCTAAAAGTTAATTATTTGTACTTATAGCGTGATTCATGGAGGTTTGCACAAACCAGACTAATACAATATTTAATACAGTAAACGAAAATAATAATTATTGTTTATAAAAGTCTTTAAATCAAATAATACCTCGTTTTGCCGAGAAATTTCGATTTTTTCCTATATTTTGGCACATTTTTTTCAAAATTTTTACTAGGTACAAGAAAAATTTCTGTTGATGGCTCTAGATGTTAAGAAATAGTAGGTTTGGTATTCCATAACAACTGTAGTTATAGTAGGGTTTCCATGGAAGTTTTTGAAAATTCCGAACAATATCTAACAGTGACAGTTGTCTATCATTTTGGATGTCGTCTGACCGATATTTTTCCCTGCCTCTTTGAACAGATGGACATACTTTAAAAAGTATACTCTTTTGCCTTTGTGAGAAGTACTAATATTTGTACTGCATACGTTATAAATGACATCAGAAATGGGATCCATTTTTAACAGAAGTGAAAACTTTGAGCATTTCATTAGTTACTACAGGGTGGTTCGAACTGTATTCCGGAAACTTCGGCAGCATATTCTGCAGATAAAAACAAGTAAAAAAGTTCGTATAATTACATGTCCTAAAATGCTTAGTTTCGGAGATATAGGGTATAGAGGTTTTATTTTCATTTCGATTTTTTCTAAATAATTTCCGAAGTAACGTCAATATTTCGATGAAAATTGGTATCTGGGAGTTTTTTGACATGACAATATTGATTTTGAAGTCAATATGACTTCTACTTGTAGAGGGCGCCACCTACATATTTTTTAACTGGTTCGAAGAGTAATAACCTTTCGTCTGTACCTGAATAAAACTACTGAGTAAAAAATTATACATTTACGACATTTTATACGTAGAAAAGTTATCTCGGTAAAAATCGCTACGAGTAATGGTTCTCGAGATATTTGGAATCGAAATTATCAATATCCGTTGTCATTGACATAAATTAACCATGTTGAATAAATAGTTAAATTTGAAATATCTTTGTGTCAAAAGAAACTATTTTATCGTCATGTTTCGAAGAAAAATTTATGATTAATTTAAAAAATTAAAAAGTTCCCAAATTTATAATTTCAGTCAAATAACTATCTACTCAACATATTTACTTTTTCTTTACTTTTTTTAGTTATGGAATATCAAATCAAAAAATACTACTCCATCTATCAAAACATCTAGAACCCATCTAAGGCACACAAAAAAAACAAGATTCAATAATAATCTCTCTAACCGAACACTAATACGGCACTGAAAAAAAAACAATCAACAACACACTCTATATGTTACACGTACTCCTCACTGGGTTTGCTATTGTTCGTGAGTCTGAGTGAGTTCGGTACTCGACCACTCACGTTGTCGGGGAGTTCGGCGATGTCCTTGAACACGCCTGCAAGGCTCTCGAAGTTGGGACCCCAGTTGAGGAGGTAGTCCCAGCCGAGGGTCGTTGTGGAGGGACTACCGGTTCCTGGCCTGTACATTGGGCCTCCCAGGTCGTCGTCGGAGGCTACTAGGGTGGACATCGAACCCCTGGTAAAAGAAGAAACGGTTAAATTGTCAATACAGGGGGATGTAATAATTAAAGGTGCAATTAACATTTTACAAACACAATACAGTTTTTTTTTTTTTTTCTTTTTTTTTTTATTAGTTTTTTTTTTTTTTTTTTTTTATTTTGATATTTAACTAAAAATTAAAATGAAATTACTTAAATGGATATTTTAATTACTAGATATCAGGCTATAAGGATAAATTACAATTTAGGTAGCAGTTACTGAAATTTAAAATAAATTTATTCTTCAATTTCACAAAATGTGAAATATGGCAAAAACTTTACAATTTAGGAATAATCTTCTTTAATAAAACTCATCTTTATTTTTTTTTTTTTTTTTTTTTTTTATATTATTATTAATAACAGAGCTTTAAAAATAATATAATTAAAAGGTGTAGGAACCTTGCCTTGAACTGCTAATATTGAAATTAATTCCACGCTGTGCTCGTCATAATGTGGATCAACCTACTCTCACTACCGGTTTCAGGGCCCTACCCCATCATCAGGTGAGCTTGGGTATTTCCACAAAACTGACGAGAGCACAGCATAAATAACCACGACTTGTCGTAAAGTAGCAGTAAGATATTAAGACCCGCATCGCGAGATAGAGGCCTGCGTGCAATGGTAGAACTTTCGTACCACCGAGGAACAACTATCGATAGTAAATAAGCTGGCTAATGAAATATATAATGGAAAATAAATTTCTTTTATTGTATACCTAGGAAGCTGCAAGGGAATTACTGACAAGTTATATATATATATATATATATATATATATATATATATATATATATATATATATATATATATATATATATATATATATATATATATATATATATATATATATATATACTCTGTATTAGCTCGTCGTTTTGTTGGAAATGCCAAGCTCACTGATGATGGGGTGGGGCCCCAGGAAGCCAGTGGTAGAACGGGTTGATCCATTCATAATGAGCACAGCCAGGAATTTGTTTATATTAGCAGTTCAAGGCAAGAGACTCTTATATAATTTTATACTTCAAAACTACTAGAAATTTATTTTCCCATTGTTTTGTGTAATATAAAATAATAAAATCTCGGCAACCCAAACTGGTGTCTTGTCCTCTGGTTGCAGGGAATCTTAATGTTATGGCAATCCTTTTTTATATATTTAAGCTTGGATACGTACTTCCTAAAGGTTGTATTTTTCCTTTCTGTACATTTAGCAGTTAATAGAGGTCTTTCCAAAATCAGTGAGCAGCAGTAAAATTATTAAAATATTCTCTATCTATTTGTAATCCTATGTAGAGAGTTTACTTTCCTGCACTAGGTTCTTTAATTATTAGACATCCAACTCCGCCTTTTTTTCTCTTTGTCTCCTTCTTTTTGCAATAATGATGCTATCACCGCATTAAAATACTTCACGAACAGCCATCCATGTACGAACAGTTCAGAACATAAAGCACTACTACAATGTGGACGCCGTTGCTTGCAGGCCGAAAGGTCTTTAGAAACACGACAAACAGAAGGCCTGAAGCAACTAAGCCTGATTCAGAGCAAGGCGCGAGCAGTGCGAGCGTGTGGATACTTGCTATAATTCAAAAATGAAACCAAAGTATGTTTTGCCTCATCTCATTTCAGTTGGTTGGAAAATACCTTAATCTTTTTAATTTTCAGTATCTCAGTTCTGCTTATAGATTATACAGATTATAATCTTTGTTTCTTCATTATTTTTCGTGGTTCCAATTTCGGAATCGGGCACTAGTTAGGTGACTAGTTTGCGCACATAGCACGCCCACTTATAGCCTCTAAAATTGTGCACAGCGCTTGACCGGACCATTTATTATAGAGATATCGGAAAACCAGATGGCGTCCTTGAGTATTTACGCGTACCTTATCGTGGTTACGATATGCGCGAGTCAACACAACACCCGCTAATAACGTTTTACCGCCTGACGTAATTTGTTTCTAAATAACGTTTAAGAATTGCTTAAATGTGCATGTGCGAGTATTTGACAACCGGAGCCATTACGGCGGATCTTTTATTTTAGGTTATGTTTGAATTGTTTTGAATTATTGCTTTAGTTTTTTATTAGGTAATTTGATATTTTAAGTAGCTGGATTGGTTTAATTAAATAAATGCCATTTAAAATATGCGTTCCACCTCTTCCAATACTAAAGAACCTATAAAGAGTCTTAGGTTTACAGCAGATTACGACTTAGCCCTTCTAAGAGTTTGTTTGCTTATTGTCCAAGAAAGCCAATTGGCGAGATTTGAACGAAGTAAAAGGCACTTAGAATGGCAGCCCTTTGGTTTAAAATGCCCACAAATGAAACGAAAACAATTCAAACGCAACCTAAAATAGAAGATCTCGCCGGCGACCGGCGTGGAAATGCTCGCTTTTATTAAGCGCAATTACAAACGATTATCTCCCGCAAAATGCGTGAGCAGCTGATGGTGTTGACTCGCGCTCATGAAGAAAAATTTTGCTGGCGCTCTGGATGACTTCCATTTAACCGGTCGAAACTTGCTATTGACCTGAGCCAAAATGTACTCTGCAAATATAGCTGGCGATTAAGGATTCCACAAGCACAATGAAAACAAAATGCAATGTCTGATAACTGGCTGAGGATACTAACGTGTCATTAAAAGACAAGGCGACACCAACAATGAATGAGGAAGAACAACGCTCTGTTTTTAAACCCTGGAGTGCGTCCGGTAACTTCGTGGACGCTCTTCTCTGACGACTTCGCACGACCTACTGTTGTCGTGTTCTCAATTTCTGTCATAACAACGGCGCGTCCACGGTGGCGAACTGCTGCATTCTAACTTTTCTTCGACCGAACCAATAACGAAGTATTACAACAGCGGCGAATAGTGATATTTCAGGCTGGAGATGAAAGAAGAGAACTTGAGTTGAATATCCAATAGGGCCAAAGTGATCCCAGCCTCCCAGTGGCGCATTTTAATGGCCCACAGCTGTTACAACAATGCTGGTTGTTGTATGAAAGAAAACTAAAAATATTTTAAATAGAACCAATTATATACTTAATGACATTTGTATTCTATACCGAATGCAACTATTTTATATTGTGTGTGCAAATAATGGAAAATAAATTTCTGACGGATTCAGAATTATACAGAGTTTCTTGCCTTGAACTGCTAATATGAAATTAATTCAAGCTGTATAGATGTAGTATTGGATCAGCCTGCTCTCACTACCGGTTTCGGCA